TTATTGTTTATTTAAAATTATCAGTGTTAAATGGGTGGGTCTTTTCACAATTGCCTTTATTGGCCTTTCAACTATTACTGAAACCATAGAAGCCTTGAAAAAAGTTATTCGATATCAAGAAAGTCTTGATATTGGAAAAGAGTTCAAAAAAAATAAACCAATAATACTGTGAAAAAACTAAAGAATAATGTTATGAAAAAGATAAGAACAAGAAGCAACTTTCAATTTTATCTTTTTTTAGTCTTAATAATTAAATGGCTATAATTTAGATGTTATGAATTACTCGAGTGCCTAAAAAAAAATAAACAAAAAAGAAAAAAAATTTAGAACAGAGTTATATATAATACTTTTACAATTATATATTAAATCTGTAGAAATATTGATCTTGCAATTTTTTTGATTCTACTAAGTAAAGTAATAAAAATTACTTTTGTTGAATTAATAGTTGTATTCAATTTCATCTTACACAAATAATTTTTTTGGCAAATTTTATTTTAGTAACCATGCGTTAATAGTCTACATATCAAATCTAACATTATAATCATAAATAGTAATAGTATGATCAGCTTTGTTTAATTAACTTGTAGTGGCAAGTTCATAAAAAAGATTTTCCAGTATGTACTATATATACATACTACTGTATTTGATTTTATTTGTTAAGGTGGATTAAATTTAAATATCATAGTATTTTTTTGTTTTTTTTTGTTTTGTTCTACTTTTTGAAATTTTGCCTGTTTTTAGTTATTATAAAAGAAAAATTGATACTAATATGGTGTGTAACACTAACCAATAATCAAAGAATTTAAACTTCTAATAAGTTAAAAACCTAGAAATCACTAAGTAATATTGTATCTAAGCTTTATAAATCAAGTAAGTTACTTGTTGAATTAGATAGATTATAACTATAAATAAAAATTCTTGTAATTTTTAGAATAATTTATATTTAAATAAAATAGTGGTAAAATAAACTGAATTGAAAAAATATATATATATATATCCTCTTTTTATATTTCTTCTTACCCTACTTTACTCTTTAAAATTTTGCTAAAAAATGTTTTATCAGATTGGTGATATTTTATATAAAACAATGATCCTGACAAGGTCAGTAAACACCTACTGTAAACTCTTGGGGTTTAAATCCTTAATAAGTTAGAGATCCTAAACAAGGTAAACATGAGCCACTTAGGTGGGTGCAAGTGATAAAGTATATCCTTATTGTGTTTTAGCATCGAGTGATTCTTTATTAGTATAGGGAAAAGTAGATTGTAGAGTAGGCTAGCCTCTATTTTACATTTAAATAATAATAATAATAATAATAAAATTCATTATGTTGAGAATTTTATATACTAGCTTTGAGCTTAACTTCACTATATCGAGAGTTTACTATAACGAAAGTGAGTTATATAAATGCTGTGGCTATAAAGGTTAATTACGATTGCCGCTTATGTGAGCGATATGACGATGTCAAAAGCACCGAAACAAATGTGAACGTGCATTTTCTAATCTAATTTTGTTTAAATCTAACATTTTGTTTATTAAAGTAGTAAAGAATATTTAAATTATAGTATTAATGTGTATAGAAAAAAATTGTATTTTGCATTTGTGGTTCCAAACCAGTATACCGGAAATAGGAGTATCTTATCTAGTAATCGTCTACTCATCATCATCAACGTATTCAACTTCTTGCTCCTCATAATGATCCTCATAATAATAATCACCCCCTCCTCCAGTTTCTGTAACACCAGTTGACGAATCCTCAGAAAGTTGTGTTATGCTTGACTCTTCAACGACATTTACTGTATTCCCGCTAGTTAAATAATCATCATAATTATCATGATGTATATGACATTCAAAGTCCCAAGTACTTAACCATTTGGCCTTCTCACAATCTGTTTTTGTCCATGAACCAGCATAAATTAGTGGTGAAAATAATGTAAATATATATATACTAGCAACTAAAAATATTATTGCGGTAATTAGCCGATTTCTAAAAGACATTTTGCATGTGAATAAATCAAATGCTATGCCAATTAAAAGAATTGCGAAATACAATGAAGGGAAGTAATGATGTAAAAACAATTGTCGAGCCATTAAGAAAAATGGAATATAATGCAAACACCATCCTACAAAGAACAATCCAGACCATGATTCAAAATGCTCTTTTTTACCTAAAAATCATAATGATAACTAAATTAATCATTTATATAAATGATATAAAATTGTGATGAATGTGGGCACATTCAGACCTCCTAAATGCAGCACACAAGCCTCTCTAAATGCAGCCTCAACTCTGGCCCACATATATGCTTGACTCCATAAATCAGCTTTTCTCAGTGTCCTCTGAATAAATGCTGTCAAAGTTTGGTCCTATAAGTTGTATTTAGAGAGGTTTTGACTGTATTATGACTAACTGTGTAATATTCCGTAATTCAGTGAATTCAGTGACTAGAATCAATCAAGTTATTTATATCATTCAATTCGTCTTTGAGGTGGATTAAATGATATAAATTTCTTTATATTAGCTGGCTACAAAATATCACGCAATTTGTCACAATGCACCCACTCATCTCTACGTTATTATGATAATCTCACCATCCAGACTATCTTTGTATCCTCTTTTTTCTCTCAAAATTATAATCAACTTAGCAACAACAAAAATAAGTAATGCAAGAGTAGAAGTCCACCACACAAGTGGATTACCGAGTAAATAAATTTGACGATTATTTTGAACCCAAAAATTAATTCCTCGGCTTAAAAATATCCAAGACAAAGGGCGAGATTCGTAAGGGTGAGAATCAGTCAATCCACTATTGGTAGTCCACATAACTTTATTAAGTTCGAAGAACTTTTTAAAAAATCCAGGTTTCCGATAATTAACTTTCTCCGCATTATTCGGTACTAATAAAAAAAAATTAATGAATTTTAAGAGTATTTCATCAAGTATGTTGCAATCAATTAAAGTAATCACATACGTTGCGGATGAGAATTTGATTCTATAAACCAGATAGTATTTGGATAGTACCCTCCTTTAACGCAGGTGACTTCTTGTTGCTCAAAACCCCAATCAGGTAATTTAACCTTATGAGAATAAAGATAACATCCGGTAATAACATGATAAAGGCGAAATTTTGTATGAAGCGTACGAATACGTTCTCGAGATTCTGGGTCAGATTTATCGTAATCAGTGATTTCCACACGCCAAAAATCATTTGCATCTCCTGGGAAACCATCATATCCATAAGCACTAAAAAAAGACCATATTTTCATAAATATTTTCAATTATGTTCTTGAAATACAAAGGTTTTATACCTGACTTCATTTTGATATTCCGCTTCAGTTACTGGTGGTCTAACATCGTGACTATGCATCCTTTTTTTAGTTATAATATGATTGAGACGAATCACTGAATTATGATGTATCCAAATTGGGTCGGTCTCGTTAAACGGTACTTCAGGATCCGTTTGATTTTGGACAACCCATAAATTATTATCATCCTTATGTGGATACAAAGTAACCTGTTGTTCTGCATGTATATTGAACCCTTAATTAATGGAGTCTTCAATCATCATTTTGAAGTATAGATCATACTCACGTTTGCTTCCTCCCGGATAATTATGCAAATGTGAATGTAGATAGCCACCTTGCGTATTTTCATGCCTAATAGAAATTGTAGATCCGAATGCAACATCTATAGTAAAATTATAGATATATTAGGAAAAATAATATAAACTTTAGAATGTATAATTATATTTAATATTATTAACCAAGAGGCATGTCCTCCATTCCATGTCCTCCCAATGTCTGCTGGAACTCGGAACTCATAAATCCATCACCCGCCCCACTGTTGGGCAATATTGCAAAATGAATTGCAAAGAAAAACATGTACAAAGATATAGGAATAACAATCAAACACAATGCTCGAGCGAGAAAGTGTTTGAAAAATAATGTCTAATGAGAAATACAAGTTATTAAAATTAAAATTATTATGAAAATTGTTGAGATATGATCAAAACAAATCAAGGCATTATTTTACATACTAGAGTGACTTGTAAGTCACCTAATAATCTCCATAGTCCACTAATAGTTGAAAGGCCAATAAAGGCAATTGTGAAAAGACCCACCCATTTAACACTGATAATTTTAAATAAACAATAA